CGGCCACCTGGTCCAGGCTGACCTTGACTCGCCTCCGGGTCGGCGCGCGCTGTGCCCCGGAGCGAGCGCGGGGGCAGGAAGTTCCTCCTCGCCCTCCCCAGGGTGAGGCCCACCTTCCCCCGTCTCATCTTACACTCCCGGACAGGGGAAGACTGACAGGGGGGCTGTCCACTCCCTTCGGGGCGCCCTCACTCCCCTCCCGCCTGGGGGTGTGGCCGCGCCCCGGGCCTCGCTGGGGCCACCGCTTTCCGAGCGGAGCGCGCGGAAGCCCACGTCAGCACCTTCCCGGGAAAGGCAGTTTCCAAACCAGCCATCCGGCACGTGCGGGTTCCAGCCAAGCCGGAGGCGGGTGGGCTAGTGAGGCCGTCCGTCCAGTGTCATTGCCCCTGAATCGCACCATTTTCCATGGACAGGCCTTCTGGGACCAGCAATCCCCTCCTACCTACCCAGATACGGGGGTGGAGAAAGTGGTACCAGGGTGTTATTGCACCAGCTCCTAGCTGGGCGCACAGTAGGTGCTCAATAAATATTCTTGAGTGAAATGAAAGAATGAACCCAATTGTTCATCCGTAGGGACTCAATTTCATGATCTATTCCGACAGTAAGATGCTGAGCTGCCATGAAAAAGGGCAGTCAAGTTTTATGCAGCATTTCCTGAATAGGAGGCAGCATTGTAAGCGCTTTCTACGAAACCAGCTCGTATAATCCTCACCATAACATGATGAGACAGAGAATACGATCATCAGTCCCACTTTATAGCCAAAGAAATAAAATCACTTGTTCAGGATCAGAAAGTGATAGAACCTGGGATTGAATCTGAAACAGCCTGGCGTGTGTGTGTATGTGTGTGTGTGTGTGTGTGTGTGTGTGTGTGTGTGTGTGTGTGTGTGTGTGTCTAAGGGCCAAGATCTACTCTATACACATGTTCTGCGCACAGACAAGCACTGCTGGCAATGACTGTTTCCCGGGAGGGGCCCTGGGGTCATGTACTTTTCTATATTCCTTTTGGATCGCTTGGATTTTTAGCAATCAAAAATGTTAATTACAAAATTAAATTAGCCCTAGCCGGTTTGGCTCAGTGGATAGAGCGTCGGCCTGGGGACTGAAGGGTCCCGGGTTCGATTCAGGTCAAGGGCACATACCTCGGTTGCAGGCTCCTCCCTGGCTTGGGGCCCTGGTTAGTGCTCGTGCAGGAGGCAGCCAATCGATGTGTTTCTCTCACATCGATGTTTCTCTCTGTGTTTCCCTCACTCTAAAAATTAATGGAAAAATATTCTCCAGTGAGAATTAAAATTAAAAAAAATTAAATTAAACCAAAGGTCCTCATACTCGGCCACAGACATAGTGGGTTAGGACAGCTGGGCCGTGGGGGTAGGATTTGTAGTTTCCCAGGTAACCCTGAGGCAGCCAGCTCAGCAGGGATTGCACAATAGCGACAGCATTAGTAATAATAATAGTTACCTTGCATGGAGGGTTTCCTTAAAACCAGACACCCTGCGATGTGCTGACTGGGCCTGTTGTTAGCAATCCTCAGAGCTATCCTCTTCTTACAAATGGGGAAACTGAGGCTGGTCTGAAGTCGCGCAGCTCTGGGTGAAGGTAGGCCCTGCAGTGACCATCCAGGCAGGCTCAGAAGGCACGGCTGACCTTGATCAGTTGCCTGGATCCAAGAAAACGCCTCTCGCACCTTCGCTGCCTGCAGTCCATCCCAGACCCAGCAGCTGGAGGGGCCTTTTAAAAACTTGTCAGATGTCTCTGCTCTTTTCAAAGTCTTCATCTCAGACGGAGTAAAATCAAACCCCTCACCATCGCCCACAAAGCCCTACCAGGTCTCCCCCACTTCCCTCTCTTCCTCTCCTCACTCCAGTCACCCTGCCTCTTCTTTACTGTTCCTCCAATACAATGTTCTCACCTCCAACCCCAGGGCCTTTGCACTTGCTGCTGCCTCCACCCAGAATGCTCTGCCTCCACCTTCTTTGGCAATCTCCTCTGCAAACCCTCCCAGCCCTCTCCAGAGCCCGGTAGCCCAGGAATCCTTAACCCTTTTCCACGCCGTGAACCCTTTTCTGGATAAAGTGTTTCAATGACTAGAATTACATCTATTGGCTTACAAAGGAAACCAGTGATAATGAAATTCCAACAGAAAAAAAAAACACAACCCCGTCAAATAATGACTTTAGCCTTGGCTGGTGTGGCTCAGTTGGTTAAACATCAGCTGATGCACCATAAGGTCACCTGTTTGATTCTGGTCAGGGCACATGTCCAGGTTGTGGGTTCGATCTCTGATCGGGGGGCATATGAGGGACAATGTTACCCTCTCACATTGATGTTTCCCTCTCTCCTCCCTCCCTTCCTCTCTCTCTAAAATCAATAAAAACATGTTAAAAATAATAACTTTTATACACAATATAAAAATGAACACGTGTCATTTTATTTAACTCCTGGAGGAACCAGGCAGATGTTTAAGGAAAGAGGGGAGGGAGAGATTAAAGGAAGGGAAGGGAGAGGGGGAAAGAAGGAAGAAAGATGCTTGGAGGTCGCGGGGAGGTTAGAGTCTCCACGAGTCCATAGCACAATTGTTGGCTCATTCTGATTGTTTTTCATATTGCACAGCCGGGTCTTAGGCTTCCCTAGATTTTATCCTCCCCCTCCTCCTCCTCCTCCTCATCCTCCTCCT